CTGGGTTGGTGGAAGGTACCTCTGCCTGTGGCAGGGGGTGGAATGAGATGAACTTTAAGGTCCCTCCCAACCCAAACCACTCTGGGATTCTAAGGAGGAGGAGTGCTCTCACCTCTCCCTCCAGCTGTCCCCAGCACAGGGACAGGTCCCAGACCTGGGACTGCTCGTAAAGGGAAGCTCAAGTGGTCACAGAGCTCCTCAGCATCAGACCCAGCCCCAAGCTGCCAGCTGCACGGCTCTTCTCCAGACTTGCCTTTTCCCTTCCTCAGACTCCTCTTGGAGCATGGCCATGTGCATCTCCAGCCAGGCCAGAACGAGGGAGAGGAACGCTGAAAGCTGGGCCACGACCCTCCCTGCACTCTGGGGAAGTGAAACACCATGCCAAGTATTCCCTCTCCCCCTCCTGAAGGTCATTCCTCCTGCTGGCTTTGCTGTTGGAGCAGCCTCTCCTTGAACTGAAGGGTTCAAACCCATCTGGCCATGGGTGTGTGCCTGCTCCAGCTGGCCTGAAAACCTCTGCTGCAGGATTCAGCTGGGAGGGTGCAGTCAGAACCCGCAGGAGTTGGCTTTTGCTGGAAAAAAATGGGATTTGAGTGTCATTCCTCTCTTGCAGCATGCCCTGGGCAACTCCCAGTGCTGGCTGGTGGGATAAGGATGGTCACTGAGACTCCTGGCAGGATTTCACTCTGTGTCCCTCTCCCACCCCTATCAGGGCTCCATTGTGGTGGGGATCGACTATGACTGCCGGGAGAAGATGATCTATTGGACAGACGTGGCTGGGAGGACCATAAGCCGTGCCAGCCTGGAGCCAGGCTCTGAGCCAGAGACCATTATCAACTCAGGTGTGTTCCCACCCCCGGTGACACCTGCCCAAAGCCACCACAGTGGGTTCACACCTCTCTGTGCCCAGCACAGCTCTAGGGCTGTCCTTGGTGCACTCCATCCACGCTCCCAGCCTTTGGTGTTGGGTCAGGCGGCTTGGAGCGCCATGACTTGTCCTTGAGTGTGTCCCCAGCCACTGATTGTGGCCATCTCTCCATCAGGGCTTATCAGCCCCGAGGGGCTGGCTGTGGACCACCTGCGCAGAGCCATGTTCTGGACAGACAGTGGGCTGGATAAGATCGAGAGGGCCCGGCTGGATGGCTCCGAGCGTCGCGTCCTCTTCGACACGGAGCTCGTCAACCCCCGCGCCATCACCGTGGACCCTGTCCGAGGGTGAGCAGCACCAGCTCCACAAGGATTTCCACACAGGGCTTTGCAAGTGGCAGGATTTGTACACATATGGCCATGCCAAGGCTCCATCCTGACCCTGGGAGCAGCTCTCCTTCGCTGCACACCCTGTAGGAGGCATTGGCTCTGTTTCCCATCTCTTCTTGTCTTTAATAATTCAGGATTTGGCTGAAGCTGCTGTTTCAGGCTATCAGGATGGACATTATTTTTCAAGGCTTTGAAACACTCCTGGCATGTGGAAACACAAGCTGTGCCTCTAGGGTGCTGTTGGGATACAAAATGTGCTACTCCTAAGACTCACCCTCGTCTAGGAGCTGCAGTTTGGGTCATAAACATGTTTGATATCATTCTGCTTTGCTTTCAGAGGTTTTGCCAAATCAAATCAAGATGTTTCAGGCACTGATAGGAGGGAAACCAGGCCTCACTCCTGACGAGTAACAAAGGGATAATATCCCACCACTCCTTACTGTTGTGTGTCCTGTTTGTTCGTTGTTTCCCAAGCAATCTCTACTGGACGGACTGGAATCGTGAAGCCCCCAAAATTGAAACTGCCACTGTCAATGGAGCCAACAGGAGGGTCCTGGTGAACACAGACATTGGTTTGCCCAATGGGCTGACATTTGACCCCTTCTCCAAGCTGCTGTGTTGGGCAGATGCAGGTAACAGCACCAAGGATGGAGCAGAGCATGACACACCAAGCCTTGAGGGGAAAACTTGTATGTGTCATTAGCCCATTGCTACCTCTGGGCTTTCCTATTGTGCCAGGGGAGGTTTAGGTTGGATATTAGGCAGCATTTATTCATGGAAAGGGTGGTCAGGCAGGTCCCTGGCAGTGCTGAGGTCTTAGGCTGAGGTGGCTCATCAGCTGAAAGGTAAGGTGCCACAGGGCTGAGGGATGTAGGATGGTATCTCACTCCCTCACCAGGAATACACTCATTTATTTCCCCTCACACTCCTAAGGAAGGCATATCCACACCAGGTTGCTTAGGAAGAGTCATTTGTTTCTTATTTAGGAATCTTTGTAGTCTCTTCTCCCAGAGAACAAGTGATAGGACAATGGGAAATTGCCTCAAAATACATCAGGGGAGGTTTAGATTGGAGATTAGGGAAAGTTTCTTCACAGAAAGGGCTGGCAAGCACTGGAACACTGCCTAGGGCAGGGGTGGAGTCACATCCCGGGAGGGATTTAACAGCCATGAATGTGGCACTTGGGGACATGGTTAGTGGTGGCCTTGGCCATGCTGGGGGAATGGTTGGATTCGATGATCTTAAGGGTCTTTCCCAACCTAAATGATTTTATGATTCTACATCCTTATCTGAGAAGCTGTTTAAAATGCAGTGAATGCAAAGGATATATTTGATGGTTTTGGGGTTTTTTTGTGGGCTGATGAGTATCTTGTGCCTGAACAGGAACGAAGCACCTGGAATGCACATTCCCTGATGGCACAGGCCGGAGAGTCATCCAGAACAACCTCAACTACCCCTTCAGCATCATCAGCTATGCCAATCACTTCTACTACACAGACTGGAGACGGTGAGGAAAGAGAACTCACTCGGTTGTGTGGCTGGGAATGCTGAGCTCCCTGGAACAGCTGGGAGACAGCCTCCATGGCTCTCTTGGAGGGGTTTTGTGCCAGAGGGGGAAAACAAAGGCTGTCCTCAGTGTGCTCTCAAACCCCGAAGCCTCACCAGAGCTCTGTTGGGCCTCTAGAAAGCTGAACTTGGGTTCAGCAACACTTGCTTGTAAATCTCAGCACAGAAGAGTTGTTTAGACACAGCCTCAGCTCCCTGGGAGGGACAGAAATAGTGGTCGGGTTTTTTTTCCTTAACTAAAACTTGGCACAATTCTCTGAAGCAAAGATTCTGTCCTCAGTTGTTCCCTCTGCCCAACCACCCAAGGCCCAAGGCATCAGGAGTTTGTCTCTCTTCCCACTCCAGCTGGAAGCTCTCAAACTCCCATCGAATCGTAGATTACAACAAACACTTAAGTGCTTGTCACGCTTGGAAGAGACTCTCAGGGAGATAATCTCTCCTTGGAAGGCCATTTCTTGTGGCTGCATCACCAGAGAGAAATGCACTAAGTGAGCTGGAAGGAGATTTTATGAGGCAAATTTCCTTCCACTTGTCCTGCAGGTGTTCAGACCAACCTTTTTAGCTGCTTCTGTTCTTAAATGCACATAGAGAGGGGAAAAAAAGCAATTTTCATAGGTGAATAAAGCATTTCTCCCCCTTTTTTTTCTCTCCAGGGATGGGGTGATAGCTGTAAATAAAGAAACTGGTGCCTTCACTGATGAGTATCTTCCAGAGCAGCGATCCCATCTCTATGGAATAACAGCAGTTTATCCCTATTGCCCTGGAGGTAAAACCCATCCCAAAACCCACTCCCTTGTGACTTCTGGGTGACTGACACACTAAAAACACCCCTTTCTCCCCACAGCCAGGAAATAGCAACTCCTGTGTGGAGGAAACAACAATCTTTGCACCCAAAAGGACTTCAGACCCAGAGAACTGTCACTGCATACAAGGGGAAAAAGCCCTTTTCCAAGGCCAATGGAGCACCTGCTTTCCTGCAAAAGATTATCAAGTATTTTGTCATAGTTATTACCTCAAGACTTTACTACTGTATTTTTTTAACAAGTGGAAAACATGGATATATTGCCAAAAAAAAAAAAAAAAAAAAAGGGCTTGTGATTCTTAGGCCATTCCTGGAACTCTTAAGCAGATTTCAAATGTAGCTTTTTTTTACTCAAATCTTTTTATTGGAAGAAGAATGGAAACATTTTTAACAGTTTTGACAATCTGACCAACAGGTCCTTTGATCCCAAAAATATCAGTGCCTCTGGGGAGCTTTGGATGCAGAATCTTGCTGGGTCTAAGTAATCTACAGCCCTGAAGACAGACTGTGTGTGCTCCAAAAAGGTGCAGAACAGGGATGTGATATGGCAAAGGCATTGAAGATCTTCCAGGAGATGATTCTGTGTTTTCACCACTGCCTCAATGCATGTCTTTTAGTATTTATATTAGAAGAATATGCTAGAAGTGATCTGTTCATGCTTGTTGGTTCTTCTAAGTGCCTTCATAAACCTTCCCAGTGTAGACCAATACATGTTCAGAGATACCAGTAACGTTGTAATGCTTCACTTTTTCTAGGTTACTTCAATAATTGAATAAAAAGGTTGGTTCAAGTTTCCCTTTGGGTTTAGTTTTGAAATGTTGCAGTGGTAGGGGAAGCAGCAAACAAGGCAGGAGCAAGCTGTTCCCAGGGCAGGACTTCAGCACAGAGGGATTTATGTAACACTCCTCTCTCACCACAAAGCCAAATACAATGCAAAAGGCAAAAAAAAAAATAATAGGAAAAACATCATATTTACCAACTCAGAGCTAATCAGAACAATTTGTCTATTTTCTCCAATTTCATTTATTTCAAGGAAAAAAAAAAGCTAATTCATTAGAAGTCAGAATTCAATTTCCTGTTTGCTTTCCAAACAGTAAAATAATCCCATTGCAAACTGCATGCCAGAGGAGAGTTGTACGTGGTTCCTAACTGTTCTAACTACACACCAGGCTAAAAGCTTTCCTCCCTTCATCTCCCAACTTTGCCCAGTCTGTGGTCAGTCTTGGGGTCAGCAATAATGGCCTGAACAGCTACAATGGCTTCATTAATTTTGGTTTGCAGCTCTCGGAGCTCCTCTATGTGCAGCAGTCGGAGAATTTGGGCAGCTTCATTGAGAACAGCATCTGGGGGAGTGGAGAAAGAGAAGTTTGCATTTCATCAGTCATTTTCAGCTGACAGGAAGGGCTTAAGGAAAGCTTAATGCTCTGCACTTGGTTCCTGCTTGTGGTTTCTGGATTTGAAATCGGAAACTGCTGCTATGGGGTGTCCTCAAAACCTCACCCAGCTTCATGCAGCCTCCAAACCCAGGGCTGGGACAGACAATCAGAGAATCCAACATTTGTTTGGGTTGGAAGAACCTTAAAGATCATCTCATTCCACGCCCTGCCATAGGCAGAGACACCTCCCACTAGAAGGCTGGTATGCAGCACTCCAAACCCAGGGCTGGGACAGAGAATCCCAGACTGGTTTGGGTTGGAAGGACCTTAAGGATCATCTCATTCCACCCCCTCCATAGGCAGGAACACCTTCTACTAGAAGGTTGGTATACTGCACTCCAAATCCAGGGTTGGGACAGAGAATCAGAGAATCTAACACTGGTCTGGGTTGGAAAAACCTTATGGATCATCTCATTCCAGTCCCTGCCATAGACAGGGACACCTCCCACTAGGTCAGTATGGAGCATTGAGCAGTGATTTAGGTGACATGAGGTGAAAGTGAAGGCACCTGGGGACTGCTTAGCAATGATCTATCAGCTCATGCCAACTTGAGCTGCCTCAGCTAGATTTTGGGTAAATTAAAAGCCATGGAAGTAGCACAATGTCCTCTGCTGGTAGCAGCAGGATTTACCAGGAGCAGGATTCATCCCTCTGCTGCAGCCAGACATGGCTGCCATTAAAAGCTGTGAGTTAAACATGACTCTAAACCAACATATTCCACAGCTCAGATTTCTGCTTTGCTGTTCCAAACTGAAATGCTGAGGAGAGCTCATAAATAACCAGCTGGAAGGGAGAAATTCCTTTGCTCCAGGGTTTTCTCACTGTGCACATCAAAGATGTGTTTGACAGTAACAGACTTTGTCAAAGGCAAATGTTGCTGTTTAAAAGTGGTATTAGAGAGAAGTGCTTACCTCCCGTGTCAAAGCCAAGGATGTGCTTTTCTAGAGCCACGGGCAGACCCTTTCAAGGGAAAAACATCAAGATACAGTTAGAAATGGCACTTTGTGTGTTGGTAAATACAATCAATAGAGCAGGTAACACTGGAGGAAAGCACATGAGTTTTGCTTATATTTGACAACTTTGAAATCATTGTGGTTGATTATACAAGTCCTTTTGTGTCCTGAAATATCAAACTCAAGAGTGTTATTAAAGACAAACCTTCCTGGTTAAGAATCCCCTGAGTTATCAAGCAAACCCCATTGGACACACACTGTCTGCATTCAGGCCTTAAAAGGCCAACAACAGCAGGGCTGGGAGAGAACACCCAATCCAGCAGCATTGCTTCCCAGACAAACAAAAACCCTGCACAAACTGGGCTTTCTTACAAACTCGTGCCAGTTTTTAAGCACTGGTTGATTCCAAGGAGCTGCAAAAAACTCCTCTGTTATCAAGTGATTTCTCAAGCTCTGAGCTCACAGCCTCCCACAAACAGCCCCAGAAGCATTTGCTCAAGTGTTAGGAATAAAGCTAAACATTCATTTTTCTAAACACTTGCTCTATTAAAACACTACAAGGCATAGTTTATTAGTGGTCATTTATAAGCAGTGCTCAGTTTCCTTTGCCCTCTCCAGCTGCAGAGGATTGGTCACACTAAATAATTACTCCCCACGGTTCAACATGCACTTAAAGTCAGATTTAAACATTGCAAATCTTAGACTTTTGCTTTTTTTCAACAGTTCTGTTTCAACACAACAGAAAGAGTCAGGTTCAATACCATTAGTTTCTGCAGGGATGGAGTTGTAAAGCTTCTCATCAGTGAGGATTTTGTTTAAAGGCTTTTAGAGACATGTGAAAAGAAAAATCTGAGTTGATCAAAACACACATTAAATATAAAATGGGGACCTGGAACTCATTAGTTACCCCATTTACAAAAGGTTCTTTTCCATGGCCTTTATGGTTCAACTGCAATGTGAAAGTACATCTCCACTGCTAAAACTGATGACAAAAAAGGCCACAAATGCTACTTAAAAAAGATTCTAGTAATATCAGACTTCCTACATGGATTTCTTAGGAAATCAGGATTATCCTTTAGGCTGCAAAGAGCACCCTGCCAGCCTGGTGTGTTCTCACAGGGGCAGGAAAACTTGTGCTGTTCTTTTTGCGGTGTTTTTTTCCCCAGTCAGTTCTTGGTGGATGCGTTCCCCAGGGCCATTCCTCCAACACTGAGTGACCACAGTGTCACCTGGTGGCACAGCATTCCCTGCCCTGCCTTCCTCCCACCTTTTTGGGTGGTGGCAACTGCCTTTGAGAGCCTCTCAGTCTATACAACTACCACCACAAGCTCCTTTGCACAGCAGCTTCAGACAGGGAGAGAAATGAAGAGCATCTTTACATCTCTACCTACACAGACTCCATTTCCAGCCTAATTCCCCAGAAAAGTAATTTAATTCCCCCAAACTGTAATTTAAGTGCTGCACAAAACACTTGCAATGGTCCTGACTATCACAGCAATCCCCTCTGTAACTGGAAGTGTTAAAAGCAGCTTCCCTGGGAGTGAAAGAGTTTCTGGATTTCAAAGCAGGGGGAAAATGTAACCACTTTGCTGTGCTTTTAAATATGCCTCAGGCATTGCCTTTAGGAGCCTCACTGAAGTGATCCTGAAGGAAATTTGCTGTACTTGATCCTACCTGGATACACCCATCAGGCAAGGAAAGCTTATGAGGCTGTGAACCTTTTCAGGATCAACCTGAACACACTGAATTGTCAAATGTCATCTAAAACACATAGATCAGTGATACCTCACCCTGCAAACTGCACCTTGACACCCCCTACAAGCTAAATCTCATTTCATCTGGTACATTTGAACCTCAGCCACAGCAGTGGAAGTTGCCTCAGCACCAGCCTGATACACATCCTTCAGAGAACATTTCTGTGTCTATTTTACCTTTGCCCCATTCTATCCTGCTGCTGCCAAGAATGCAACACATGGTATTTTGTGTATCAAGTTGCCTGCCACGCAGCAGCCACACATTTATAACCTGTTCCTTAGCACACAAAGTGGCAGTGATCAATGTTTTGGCCATTAACAAGCCAAAATCAGCAGCAGAGCTCTAATTTTCCTGTTTTTATCCATTAGCCCAGCTGCGCCCTCTGCTCTGAAGACATTCTCTTCATTCACCTGACATATTGTGATGTCTGATGATCTCTGCTGGCACAGCTAAAGCTGTTTTCCTGCCTTTAATCCCCTGCTTTTCACCACCTCCCTGGAATTTTAGCATTCCTAAGGAGAACACACTCCCAGTGACATATATCACAGCCAGTGACACCTCAATCTGAGGATGCTTTGAAGACTTATGGAATATAAACAATTCCTTATCAGGAATTCATTGATTATCCCTCAAAGAATCCAGTTCTGCCTAAGAAACAGAAAATCCCATTTTGATCCTGCATCCAGCTGTGCACCATGTAAACAAGAGCGAAAAGCTCTTCTTAACATCACTTACAGAACCTAAAATGAGGCAGCAGCAGCCTCAGTTGTTTTCCTGTTTTCCTGCTCTTGTAACACTTTTTATGGATACGCAAGTCCAAAGCTTTGATTTACTCTTCTAATCCTTCCTGCAATTCCTACACTGCAGCTCAGAGCACCTGTGATTCCCAGTTGGAAAACACCAAGTGTGATGATAATAAATCACAGACTGTTCCGAGCAGCTGCCAGGGAAGATGAAGGAGCTTGAGCTCTTTGACCACATCCAGTCAAACTGGGAAAAATCCAGGGATACTTGCACACAGCCACCTGCAGACCAGGTGAGGCTTGTCCAGAACTCAGTGCCAGCAGCTGTTGTGCCAAAGGCCAGAGGGACGAGCTGGAAAGTGGAATGTTGAAGGAATGACAACCTGAAAACCCACAGGCACCCCCTGGAATATCATCCCAACAACTTGTAGCTTGAGGTTACAAAAGAATTGTTTAGGGGCAGAATTTTCCTGCACCATCTCTTTTCTTGGGGAAGAGAGCAGGGAGGAGCTGGATATCCAACACCACTCCTCAAACACATGAGGAGCATATATGAAGAAACTGGAGAAACACTCCATACAAGGCATGTTTCAACCTGGTTATGCAGCCAATTCCAAGGAAAAGCAGGTCATACATTTCTAAACATACTCTAGACCTGCTGTACTCAATAGTCAGGATAATCTTCTGGGAAATAACTAAGGGAAGAGCTATCCCATGATATATCATAGAGGTAGATATATCTGTATTCAACTGGAACAAAGAGCTTTGCTTGCTGCTCTCCATAACCCTTGGGATCTGTTAGGACCAGGATGGTGAGGAGAACGGAAGCTCCCACCACTCTCCTAAATGAAGTGTTAATACAGAACTGGTTTTGGCTGAGGGGACAGACATTTCTCTTCCTTAATTGGCATGGAATAATTAACACTGGACACATGCAGGGTGTATACAAACCTCCTTGGACTGACTGGCCTTGGCTATGGCATCCTGTGTCAAGCGTTCCTGAACCAAAATGCGAATGGCCTAGGAGAAACATGGAAAGGAGAGAGGAATTAATTCATGTCTTGATGCATTTCTCAGCAATTCTGAGGGGCAAGAAGCCAAAATTATAACCCAGCATAAACTTAAAGCCAGTTTTGTGCAGGAGTTTTTAGGAAAAGGCTTTCAGCCCTCAAACCTGTTCACTTAAAACTGTTCCTGGCACAGAGGATCTTACACAGGCACAGCCTCCTTGGCTGCAGGAAAGGAGCTTAACCAGAACAGACAAAGATATTAATTTTGCACAAATAATTTCAGCCACTGCTGGGCCAGAAACTGCAAAGTACTAGGAATAGTCCAGAAAACTTGGGATTTTAAGCCTGGAGAAAAGGAGCCTCTGGGGGTATCTTATTGCTCTCTGCAGCTCCCTGACAGGAGGTGCAGCCAGGTGGGGTCAGGCTCTGCTCCCAGGGAACAAGGAACAGGACAAGGGGAAACAGCCTCAAGTTGTGCCAGAGGAGATTTAGATCGAATATCAGAAAGATTTCTTCCCCAAAAGGGCTGTCTGGAACACACAGCCCAGGGCAGTGGTAGAGTCACATCCATGGAGGGATTTAACAGCCATGTGGATGTGGCACTTGGGGACATGGCAGTGGTGGCTTTGGCAGTGCTGGGGAATGGTTGGACTAAAATTAAAAATCTTTTCCAACCTAAATAAATCTATGATTCCAGAATGAGCTGTTCACAATCCCAAGGAAGCAGCACCACGAAGATCTCACACCTTTAACACTGCAGTTTCCTCAGGAAGGAATTCTGCTCTTGGCATCTTTCAGGAGGTGCTGAAGCACCTTCCCCAACCTGGAGCGAGGCCACCCAGTCAGGATTAAAAAAGACAGAGCAGAAAGGAATGAATTTGAGACTGAGAAACAAGAACAGCCTTGACTCTGACTCCTGCTGCTCATCTGTTTTTCCTGGCTCCAGCACATAGGATGGAATGGTATCAGAGTTATCAGTCACTGATACCTACAGCTGGAAATGCCTCTAAAAATAACTGCAGGAATACCATGCAGGCAGATTTCCACAGGAAAGAAGGTCTGTCAAACACACGCCTCAGACTTTCCCTGATGAGCAGCCAAAAGTGACAGAAGCAGCTTCACTGCTTCGTGTTCCTCCCTCAAGACTTCTCCCAGTTTTGGTCATGATTAAAGCAGAGATGATACTAGAAATTTGCAACTACATACTTCTAGAAATCTTCCTAACTGCAGGAAGTAGCCTGGACAAAAGAATCATTTGATGAGGAGGTTTAACAGCAAATTCCAGCAGTGAAACCAGACCTTGTGTAAGAGAATTCCAAGTGCCTTTTGCATTAGGGAATGGATATCCAACTGTGTTACACAGATGCTTTCTGATCAACTTGCCAGATTTAAATGAGTAAAATGAGACTAAATCTCTCTCTGCTCACTCTGGCCAGATGTCTGTGGTGTGCCTGCACCCTCTGGCTCTCCCTGAGAACCCACCAAGTGTCCAAACCTGAACTGGGATCATAATTCTCTCTGCAAACCTGATTGCTGTGATACAGAGTTTCACTGACACCTTTCAACACCCTCAAACCTGAAAACTGGCATCATTATTGCTCATGTAACATGGATTTCATGCAAGAATCTGTTCCCAGTGTAATTAACAGCAAGAAAATTCAGGCTGGTTTTGTCCAACCACATCTGCCTGAAAGAAAAACAGACTAGAAATGTAGAAATATGACAGAAGAATAAACCTATTTATGCATCCCCCTGCTCCTCTTCCAGCTGCCAGAACCAAATCTGATGGAGCCAGTAAAGTTTTCCAGCCCTGAACCAATCCTCTATGACCACCTGAAGCATCTTTATCTGGTAAGAGCTGAGCTCATACTGCAGATCTTCAACATCACCATTCCCAGGATCTCCTCTCTCCGCTTTATATCCCTTTGCACTGATTTTGGTAGGATTTTAGGTTGGTTTTTTTGGTAGGAGTTTGACATAAGACCTTCACTGCTCTTTAAAGACTGATGAAGGGTTCAAAGGTTATTTTGGCTTCCCAAAACCCAAATACCATATGGGAATGGGATAACTGCAGGCTGACAATTCCTTAAGAAACCAAACTACCATAATACTCCTTCAATATATCTATTACAGACTCACACTAAATACACCTCAATAGTCATATTTCCCATTTCATTTCTCAAAAATAAACTTACTAAATATCACAGCTACTGTCAAGAATGGACCTTATTGTGTTTTCAGTGATAGGAGTTTATTTAGGTGCTAACCTTATTATGACATGATCAAGGAGGAACTCAGGATTGCTACAGTCTCATAAATAAGTGTATTTAAAAAACATAGTACAGTTTCGACCCAAAAAATGTACAGAGTTCCACCAGCAAGTCACAAATTTTCTTGAGGGCATAGAAAAGATGCTTTAGAAAATTAATTAGCCTATTTACTACATTTAAAAGCCATAATTAATTGTCAAAACTGAACTTAGTTTACTCACAAGGAGTAAACAGTTCACAGGACTAAAAGGAGGAGGAAACTTTCACCTGTGGCTTTTCCCTTGGCTGTTTGTTTGAAAACATCACTTAGCTTCTCTGTTTTCCAATTTCTTTTAATTTCTAGCACTGGAACACAACTTTCTCCTCTGAGCATGTTCCTAAGAAACTCAGCTACAACTGAACTGTTTACCAGGATAATTATCCCTTCATGAATTTCCATGATTTACATTTTGTGTCCTTATCTGCTTGAAAAGGCTCTTGCAGGATTAATTTGACTTTCTATTTGTGGCTGAAAAATAGTTATCAGGAAATCTGCACCTCAAGCTGTTAGACACTGGGGAAAAGGAGGAAGGAAGGAGGTGGGAAAAGTGGGAAACTCACCTTGAGCATTACCAAGTAATCATCATGTCGTTGAATCTGCAGCAGATTAGCCAAAGCCATCACTCCTGCCTTGAAATCAGGATTATTCACTGGAAAAAATAACAACTAGCATTAAAGACAGACAATAATTTAACTGATTCCAGAGCACAGAATTGGCTTTCTGACTCCAGTCAGGGATTGCTTCAAGAATGGCCAACGGCAACTCATCACCAACACTGGAAATGCTCAAAACACATGTGGATGTGGCACTTGGGAACACTATTTGGTGGTGATGGGTTAAAGGTTGCACTCAATGATCTCAGAGGGCTTTTCCACCCTTTACAACTCCATGGCTATGGATACAGAGCAGAGAGCAACCACTTAGTATGGCCACAGAGCAATCAAAGCCTGCACTGAGCTCCATAACCAGGTGAAGTCTTGGAAAATACAGCAAGTCCCATGCTAGAATTCTCTGTTATACATTTGGATCAGTGCAGGGCAGAGCTGTGCCTGCTGGGCAGGGCAGGAGCAATTCCTAGCTGTCTTTATGGAGGAGGAATGGGAAAAACCTTGGGGGATTTAGGGTTAAGTTAGGGTTCATTTTAGTAGCTCTTTTCCAGCATTCCCATTTGTTGTGAATGTGCCTTGTAGGCAAAAAAAAAAAGCAAATTATGATGAGATAGAGAGTTGGGGAAGACTGAACCAATATGAAATATGGGGCAGGATTGAAGCAAACAGTCTGACATTATATTTTCTTGGATTTCTTTCAATTTTTAAGATATTTTGCTATTTCTCCCTAACCCACACAAAGTACTTAAGATTTATAGAGCTCTCTGCAAAGCTGTTAAGGTAAAAACACCCTTCAGCTGCTTCCTTGGTGCCTGATAAGAGCCCTTCCTACTTAATCATACCTGATCCAGTCTCTGGGCACCTCATTCTGCCTTTCCTATGAGGGGAGAGGGGGAGAGGGAAAAGGGGAGAGGGGAGGAGAAGCTCACATCCAGGCCTGGAATTCACATGGAGCAGTTCCTCTTCCCTTCAGCATGAATACAGACAGACAAGTGCAAACACCTCAAAGTGCCTTACAGAGAGGCACTTTAAGCAGTTGTAAAATCTTCAGGCATTGGAATATGCTGCCAGGGGAGGTGGTGAATTCACCATCCCTGGAGGTTTTCAAGATGAGACTGGATGTGGCACTTAGTGCCATGGTCTAGTAACCACGGTAGGGTTAGACTCGATGATCTTTGAGGTCTCTTCCAACCTGGTTGACTCTATGATCTATGAACTCTGCACTCCTGAAGCCTTAAATTAGGCTGTAAAAATCTGCCTCACAGGATTGAACAGCTTCAAACCTGAGGCACACACAGACCATGGAACACAGTCACACACAGGCCATGGAACACAAGAGGATTCTCCCTGTTACTTACCATCCAGGTTAATCAGTGGTTCTGCATTTTTGGCTGTGTTGTCAGTATTTTTAGCACCATCAGGGGTAGAATCCTTGTACTTATCAGCTGTTCAATGAAGAAGGAAACAGGAACATCATTAGAGCTAACGACAGAACCAACAAAGTTTAACAGTAAGCTGTAGTTTGCTGTAAGTGGAGTTTTTTGGGTGTGGTAATTACCCAAGAGCTTTTTGGGCTTATAAATCCATGTTTTGGAGCTCTCTATTGATGTTCCCAAAAGCTGCCACTCTGTGGAGCTTCCCTAACAGCTCCCACCTGCAGAGAGCTATCCCAGAGGAGCCTCAAAGGATGCTCCACACTTATGTAGGGCACAATGCTCTTGATTAAAGCTCTTCCCGCAGGCTTCAGCCCAGAAGGTTGAACAAGCTGCACCTCACAGTTCTACCACTTCTAAAATCCATCATTCAGCCACCTCTGCCTCAGTCAGGAGTGTGTGTAGGGCTCAGGAGCTACAGACTGATGTTGGTTCTGATCAGCAGCTAACACATTTCCAGCTCAGCCTTGGTTTTACAGACTGCAGAATTCATCACCACACAGGTGTTTTGCAAGCCTTTTGAGGATGGAAATCTTCTCACTTCTTCATCTTCATGTAACCCCAAGGCACAGGCAGTAAACTTTGTCCCTCATGATGAACTGAGAAGCAGCTCTGCAGATTGCAGGGGTTTCTATCCCTGACCTGGGCAGAGCTCAGCCCTGCAGGAGATGAAACTGCCGTGGCTGTGGAGATTGAACTCAACTTGTTCATAACCTTGTCCTAGTTCCCAAGGGTTCTGGATCTGCTCCCTGTAAAACAGGGGCTAAGAATAACTTTTTCCAATAAATGTAGTACCAACGAGATCACATTCAATGTACTTTAGAGCAAGTTCTCATAAAGGCAATCCCAGAGGGAAAAGGGGATAAATATATACAATGGGGTTTGCTATATCCAGAAAGAAAAGTATTACATGGAATTATGATAGTACAGTCCCATGGGAGCTGGAGAGAACCAGTTCCTTGGAGTATGGGACAAAAATAGGTCTAGGGAAAGGTGTCCCTGCCCATGGCATCTGGTGACAGTGTGGTGGGTGACAGGTGACATCACCAAACTCACAGTGCACTGACTCCCTCCGTGCAGGGATTATAGCTCATCTGGGAGCAATGGAATGCAGATCCCAGAATTCTCAGAGAGGTGAATCCCATTTGATGTCAGTCAGAATGGTCTCAGGCACCACAGAGGAAACCAGGACAGGCTGAGCATCCCTGCTAACTGTTTGGAGCTCTCCAAAGAAAAAGCAGGAAACAAGGACATCTGCAGCAGCAGCAATTAAAGCACAGGCACAAACATGGGACTATCAGATCCCTCCTGCACTGCCTGTGAGTAACATTATTCCTGTATTTAGTCCCACAGAATTCAGTGAAGCTGCTCTCCCATTCCCAGTTAAACCCATCCAAGTCCCTGCACAGAACAACATAAGCTTTTACTTCTTTATATAAGATATAAAGGAGCTCCAAGAGAGCTGGGGAGGGACTTGGGACAAGGGATGGAGGGACAGGACACAGGGAATGGCTTCTCACTGCCAGAGGGCAGGGCTAAATGGGATATTGGGAAAGAATTCTTCCCTGTGAGGGTGCTGAGGCACTGGCACAGGTTACCCAGAGCAGCTGTGGCTGCCCCATCCCTGGGAGTGTTCCAGGCCAGGCTGGATGGGGCTTGGAGCAACCTGGGCTAGTGGAAGGTGTCCCTGCCCACGGCAGGGGGTGGGATGAGATGAATTTTAAGGTTCTTCAAGCCCAAAACTTTCTGAGATTCCATGAAATCAAACTGAAACCCACATTTCCCTCCCATTTGGAAATCTGCTATCAATCCCCTCCTACCATTATCTCCATATTCCAGCCTAACAGCCAAGCCAAGAAGCCAATCCACTGTTTCCTGTCGTTCCTGCATCTTAAAAGGACAGTTCACATCCTTCATGTACTGAGGAGGAAAGAGAAGAGCAAACAAACAGCTGTTACTGACCTGTATGCATAGAAGACAGTT